TACCACACACACACAACACACATCCCCACACCACACACACATACCACACACACATACACACCACATACACACATGTCACACACAACACACACACCCCACACACAACTACCCCCTGACTCTCCTCTGAGATTCCGAATCCTGCCCATTCTTCAAGGCTCAGCCCAGGCCCGTGACCTTGGTGACAACCCTCAGGTTCTACTTGTTCTGGTAGGTTCCCAAAGCTCTGACAACCTGTCCCCCTCACCTGACACGTTTCACATGCTGCTTGGTGGTGCGACGTGTCTTTTACGTTTTAATCACAGGCCCTTGGTAGAAGTTGGATTGTGAGCTGAACGAGAGCCAGTCTCTGATCAAGTATCGCTCAGAAGAGACACTTGAGAGAGAGGCCACAGCCCATGGCCCTGGGGCGGGCTTTCCCTGGCTTTGTGCCTGCTCTGTGTGGCCATCAGGAAGCAGAGGACCCGGAGCACAGCTCACACGGACGCTTCCAGGGAGCTACGCTTTCACGTCAGGCCTCCTGCTTTTGTGGAGGGTCCACACAAGATCATCTGGTGGAACACTTCCATGTCTTTGGTGAAACTGCAATTAAAGACATCGTTCACTATGTCACTCAGTGTCCTTTATACAAGGGTCTGCACCATAAATTCTGGGTTGTGTTTAGTTCCAGGAAGAAATTCTATTTCTGCAGATAAATTAGTACACTTCCTGTTGTCAGAAAGCGCAAACTGTAGCTCTGAGGGCTTCTCTTTCTGCTGGTGGCTAGATAAGAGTCAAATTTACTGCCTGTGTGTTGTAATCTGCTCAGCTGTGGGGTCCAAAAGCATTTACTCCTTCAGCTTCTTTTAAATGGACTTATTTCATTTTATGTTCAAACGTCTCACTATACTTTCGCGAGATGTGTGAGCCTGGCAGTCATCTGCGGAGGTATTGATTTGGCTCATTTATTGTGTGTGCTGTCTGCTGGGGGTACAAAGATTCATTTGATGGCCCCCAGCTTCCTGGGAGCTCCTACTGTAGCATGGAGAAGAGCTATGGAAACAAATAATTACAGCACAAGGTTGGTGCTCCGGCAGAGGTGCATGGGGCTGGAGGACAAAGCAGACTCGGGGAGAAGGGCCAGGGAAGGCCTCATGGAGGAGGTCAAGGGTGAACTGGTTTGGGGCTGCAGTGGGAAGAGGGCCGTGAGTGGAATAATACGTTTCTAACTCTGAAATCAGATAGAGTCATCTCTTCATGTACATGTGCCCTCATGCTGGCGGGGCGGAAACTCTTGGAGGGCAGGCATTGATCTCTGTCCCTCTGTGGACTCCAGGATGCCCGGTGCCGGGCTGAGGGCAGTGCAGTGTGGTGGTTACAGCTCCGGCGCTGGAGCCAGGCTGTCTGCTTTTGCATCCTCAGCTGAGCAAAGCCAGGCAGGTTCACTTAACCACTTTGGGCCTGAACTCTAAAGTGAGGACGATAGTGTCTCTACCTCATGGCGATTTTAGGAGCGTCAAAGAAGAAAACACACATACGAGCTTAGAATCATCCCGGCACACGGTACTCTGGGAACGGTTGCTGAGTAGTCCTATCTGCATTATCGACAACATGGCACCATTTAGGGTAGCTAGCGCCATAACCATAAAGTGGGAAAAACACACACAGCTGAATCCAGCACAGCACTCTCAACTCAGCCAGCTGAATCTGGTTCAATTAGTGTCACTTCCAAATGATGCCTACTTAAAAATAACCTTGTTTTACTGATTCCTGAAAGAGTGTGAGGGAGTTGGCCTCACCGCAAGTCCATGGGTAACTTTTGTTTGTTGATGATGTTCTCAGCACTGGTCACTAATATTTCTCTTAAAGGACCCCCACCAGCTCTGGCCGTCACATCTAGGGGGCACACTGGGCCCAAGGCTTTTCCTGCCCCACTCTGTTTTTGTTGGTTTCCCTGTTCAATGACTTTCAATAGGCCCAGGCTTCGTGGGTAGGCAGTAAACGAAGAGAGAACCGCAATCTGGATTTTCAGCCAGGAAGGGGAGAAGAGGTGTTCATAAGAGCGCACACACACACATGCACAAAACCTGGCCTCTCCATGGGCATCTGACTGTGTGTTGGTAAATGTTTAATAACCACCTCTCCAGGGAAAAAAAGCCCCGATTTATACCGTTTGTCAATTTCCTTGGCGTAAATACTCCCACCCCAGCTGAATTCAAGCTGTCAGTGCGTCGTCACCGGACGTGAGACTGGGAAGAGATGCCCGGAAGCACACCAATGTATAGTATTTCCACTATGCAAACACAGTAGAGGTAAATAACCCCGAGAGCACAGATAATAGTAAAATACACTAAGTTGGTTAGGAAGTGATGAATTTTGAGTATTTGTTACCTTTGTTCCTAAATGCAATTTTTTTCAATTGTAAGTGTACATAATTTAATTTTTCCTTAAATATTTCTGAAATGGTGACCATCACTCCCGTGATGTGGAACGAGCTGGCTCCAGCACATCACTGGGCCTGGCTTCCCTTCATCAATCTACAGTCTCTTCCAGATGGCGCCCTCACGTCACCACTAACTCTTTGTTCCTTTAGGCTATGAGACTGCCTTTACACAAATTATCTTGGGCATATGTCTACCCATATATACAGACATATTCTTATGCAAAATAGGAGAAAACCTCTCTGCTCAGACTTGCTTATTACTCTCTCTCCACTCCCCCAAAACAACCAGCCCCACCTACACTTCCATGGAAACTTAGGAACATGAAGGCAAAAGAAAGAAGCAATACCCAAGGGAATACTTAAAATGGAGGGTGAGGGAAAGTAAGAGAAGGAGACAAGAAAACAGAACAGAAAGCAGGGAGGGAACACAACACAGACCAAACCCAGAGAAATGGAAGGGCCAGAGCAGTCGTAGTCGCTGCTCCATTCCTCCATGGGAAGCCCAGATTACAGGTCAGGAAGCCAAATGCACCGAGGGAGTTGCTATGAGTCTTAAGGGAGCCATGGGTCCTAGACTTCAGCCCCAGCGTGAGTCTGAAGGGCGAGGGTTAAGGCAGGAAATGGCTCTAGAAACAATCTGTTGGGTTGGGAGGTTTCTCTCAATGAGAAGAGTTCCCTTCAGAAAGGTGGTCACTGGGACACACGAGCACTGGTGGTGCCAAATCTCCCTCAGAGAAGCTCCCAAGGAGTCTGTTCAGCAGCATGGCGTTTAGTCTCAAAATGGCAGCTGGGAGATGTTAACACTTCTCTAATTGGGATAGCATGCTTTTAAAATAAATAGGTATTTCAAATGCTCTTAATTAGCCTTCCAGGCAAAGTGCTTTCCATTTGAAGTCTGCTGATTACTTCAGGCAAAGCTGGGCCCTGCGGAACCTGACTCCTGCTGTAACTCAGAAGAGGGCTCCCAGAGAGATGTGCGGCGGAATTACGGAGAAGTCTGCGGTTGGAGACATGCAGGAGTTTTTCAAGGGCCCAGGAGGGTCAGGGACTGCGGGGCAAAGAAGATGGGGCACCTCTTGTCCTGAAAGCCTTGGAAATGGCTTCCCAGGCCCTAGAGGAAAATTGCCCCTGGGGTTATTTGAGTGGAATTTTCCACATCACTGTTTCTATCCGAGCAGCATCATGAAGACTGGAGAAGAGGCCAAACATTGCACGGCTGGTGGCAGCTCTTAGCCATGGCTCCAGTCAGGGGCTTGCCAGGATGCCCAGAAGGTCACCTCAGCACAGCCTCCCAACAGAGGTCATTGCACCCTTCCCAAGCCCGGCCGCATGAGTTACGGCCCCGGGGAGCCCTGGCTCCTTATTGGAGAAAGCGCTTGGCAGAGTCTTAGCTCCGAGTCCCTGCCCAGGTCTCTGGCAATGCGAGGGTGGGCCTGGTGCATTTACCTGACTCCTGCGTCCTGGGGCCAACACTAGGCTGCTCAAGCTCCAGTCAGTGTGTCTTAGGCTTCCTTGTTCAATGTCTCTGAGGCAATCAACAGCTATTTGATATGATCATTACTATTACTGAAACTAAACAACCAACTTTCCTAATAATTGAAGTGGCTAGGGTCAAATGGGTCATCCTCTTGACGTTGGAGCTCTGCTCCATTTCCCCACAGAGGTCCTGGGTGCTGGATTTCTCCAATTACAGGTCACTCCAGGGGCCTGGCCATCTCAAGGGACCCCTTTGTTTGGAATGCACGTATTGCTGATTTAATCAAAGCTCTGTAACTGCTCGGTCCCAGGCTTGCTGGAGAGGAAGCCAGCTGCCCCTGCCCAGGACGCCTGCTCCATCAGCCTTCCCGGGAGCCGCACACTCCCCTCGGGTGACTTCCTTGGGTCACATATCAAAAGGGAACATACTCTGCTCTGTCCACTGCTTACAAGGTGCAAGGGTCCCCCAGAAAATCACTGTGTTGGTTTAGCATTTGCATTATTAACACACTGAAGTATGACTATCATTGTTGTCGGCAGTAAATAGCATGGGACTAAGACCATCAAGTTTGGACTCAGAGAACTGGATTCAAATCCTAGTTTCAACACTTGCTAGCCATGGGACCTTGGGAAGTCACTGAATCACCTTCTTTGGGACAACGCACTTCCCTCTTAGAGCTGTCGCGAGGATGAAAGGAAACAGCGCACATATCGTGCATAGAGCTGGTTCTGCAAATGGTGGCTATTTTCATCGTCTGATACTCCTAGGATTAGTTAGTAGTGGCTCTAGAGAGCTCAGAGTAGGACCCTGAGGAGCTGGGACACAGAGTGAACTTAGTTTGGAGTGTGGGGTGGAAAAGGGCAGGAGGATGAGGCAGCAGCTGGGAGGGTGGGTGGCTGGGGCCAACAGCCAGGAGCAAGCACACAGGTGGCGACACTGGCCCCAGAGAGGAGGGGCAGCCAAAGAAGCTGCCCTGACAGCAAACCTTGCCCTCCTGAACCTCCCAAGGGTTGGATGGGTTATCTGTCAGGGGGGTGTGGGCTCCCAAGACCAGACCAGCTTGTATCACCTTCTCTTCTTCCTACAGCTCCACTTTGTACCCACCTAGAGCCACCTGCTGCATATGCCGCTGGGTGATTTCTTCCTTCAGGCGACCTGTGAAAGACACAAAAACCACACGTGAGTTTCTGACTGGCGGGAGGAAGACTTGGCCTCAGAAGCATGTGGCAAGCTAAAAAAACATAGGTAGAGTAAGGGAGACAAAGCTTGCATTATTCCCAAGAAGAGTCCTTCCATGCCCTGGATTGTGCTGGAAGAGGAGGCTACAAGGGCTGGGGCCCTGGACCATCAAGACACATGTCACCTTTGGATTTAATCATCTTTGGGTTCAATTACCTTAGTCTGTCACTCATAACCTTTGCTAGGGCCCTAGTCTCTTAACTAGTTCTATCTGTCTATTATTAATGAAGGAGGAGGCAGGATTTGAATCTTTTAATAATTTATAGGACCACTTTTAAATCCACTTCTTTCTTTTAAGCTATATCAAACTGCATCAAATAAAAAAAGACGGTAGTTTTAGTTGACAATAACCTTAACATGAACCTTAATATGATCAACAACAGTCGATCATTTGGTATGAAACACATATTATTCTAGGTTGCATTAATAAAGGTATAGTGTAGGGGCTGGCCGGGTGGTGTGGTGGTTATGTTTGTGTGCTCCGCTTCGGTGGCCTGGGGTTCACAGGTTCTGATCCTGGGCGTGGACCTAGCACTGTTCATCAAGCCATGCTGTGGTGGCGTCCCACATAAAATAGAGGAAGATTGGCACAGATATTAGCTCAGAGACAATCTTCCTCAAGCAAAAAGAGGAATGTTGGCAACAAATGTTAGCTCAGGGCCAATCTTCCTCCAAAAGTAAAATCAAACAAAGGTATAGTGTGTAGATCAAGGGAGGTGATAGCTCCACTGTTCTCTGCAGTGGTCAGACCACACTTACTATTTGTTCTAGGAGTTACTCTTCATAAGGAGCGTTAGTAAAATAGAAAATATGTAGAAGACGGTGACTGGGATGGTGAGCGGTCTGAAACTATGCCGTATGAGAAACGTTTGAGGTGACCTGAGACGTGTAGATGGAGAAGAAAAGACTTGGGGGGAGAGTGCTATGGAGATAATGGCTGTCTTTAAAAATTTAAACGTCGTCATATGGATGAGAGAACAGATTTATTTTTGTCCTACTGCTGAGGGCAGAAGTCAAGTCGAATAAAGGCAGACTTGGGGCTCAGGACGGGGAAGAAACAGCTCACAGTCAGGACTGTCTCAGCATGGATTAAGTTGTCTCAGAAAGGGCTAAGTCTCCTGGCAAAGCAGTGAGGCCCTTCCTGAAAGTGCTCGAGCCGAAGCTGGGGGACCATCTGTTGGGTCGTTAGGGTGAGAATTCCCGCCCTGGGTAGGAGCTGGGATGAAATGACCTCCAGCCCTCTTCCATCTCTAAAATTCCATGATTTCATGCTTGAGGGATGGGGGAAACAGCAGCCACGGGGTTTGTTTATGTCCAAGGGCTCAGAGCACTTGTTAAAATGTCAGTGCTGTCTATCTCGCATGTCCCATTTGGGAGACGTGATGAGGCCACTTGGGGGATTCCGAGAAAGCCTGGGAACCTCAGTGCTTCCTTGTCTAATAGATTTCTTTCCTCACGTAAACGACATCCCACACCTCAAAGGCTACAGTGGAACTGAGTATTCAAAGATAAGTAGACAGTGAAGCCGTCACAGGAGACCTTGTCTCTCACTGAAAGTTCTAGGCCGCTTCTAGAAGGTTATGATTGGGAGGGATGGCAGACGCCATTCAGTTTAACTTCCCACCCAATTTAGGAATCCTTTCTACAGAATGAAACGGTCATTTCCCATCTGACTTTCATGTATCCAGGTGGTTCCATTGATTAAATTGTATATCAGGAATTACTGATGTGGCACTGACACCTGCTTCCTTCTAACTTTCAGATTTGGACCTGGTCTGTTCTCTGGAACAGCATAGAAAAACGATCCTCTCTTGTTGGCAGTAAGAGCATGTCACGCAGCTGAGGATGCTACAATGTCTCCACTTAGACTTGTCCTCTTGGGTTAAACATCACCAGTTCCTTCAGCTCCCCCTGGGAGACTGCTGTTTCCAGGGTCATCATGATGCAAGTCTGTGCCTTGCCTTCCATGTGTCCCCCTGGAGAGAACTGTGCACAGAGGATTGGGCTTAAGTAATTATAGCACCCTGATTCCAAGTGGGGGGTAGGTGGGAACTTGGGGAGTATATTGAGGGGGAGTTAGGGAGGTGGAAACCTGGCACAAGGATGAGTATTGGACGATGGAGCCAACGGGAACATGACCTGAAAGCCGGGTCAGCCACAGCCACGATGGGGTCTTGTCCCTACTCTGAGCCACCTGCCCCTTATTGTGGGTATCAGCAGAGTAAAGAAGTAGGGGCGTAGGGGTGGTGCTGGGCTGAGACTCCAGCCACATTGAGACTCTGCGTCACATTGCTGACTTGAATTGTAAAGAAGCACAGTATGGCATTCTTCAAATAAAAGGAGACAGTGCTGTGACAAGTGCAGCCCACCCTTTAGGCACACCTATTCCTTTAGGATAGGCCATTAAGGGCTTTGCATGCCCACGGTATGGAGAGCCAATGGTGCCTCAGTGCCTGGCCTGCTTCCTGAGTATCTGGCACAGGGACTTTGTACCATGAGCCTCTTTCATGCCTGGGTACCTCCATCCTAAAGAGACTGGCCAGTGACCTGCTCCTTTAGAGTACATGCTGAGCTGCGTTTCTCCCTGGAAAACCACCTCCCTGACATCGAGCCTCCTTGACAACTTGCCTCCCTGACCACCGGCCTCCCCACCAATGGGCCTCCCAACCATGTGCATCCAAACCTCATGCCTTGTCCCCAGTAGGTGCACAGCCTTGTGGGTGATGACTTCCCCTGCTCCTATCGGAATGTCCAGGCTCCCTTTCCCAAACCCTGGGGAAGCTATCTTGGAATGACAGGGTTAAGGATTGACCACAGCTGCAGCCTGGGAAGAGCTGCTCAAGTAAATCAAGAGGGGGATTTTGCCACCAGGACTGAAAGTTCTATAAACGCCACAGAACAATGAGCCATTCCTAGGGGACCAAAGGTGGGTCTTCATAATGCTATGTATTGATAAAGGTAGGTTTAAAATGTGTTTAGTGATGCTCAGTTGGCGAATTGGCTAACATCTCCTACCACATGGCAATTTTTTGTTTCTGAGATCTTCCCAATCTTCTAAAAATACCCTTATGGCTGATACCTAATTGCATTTTCCAGCAGAGCCACTCCTCATGTGAAGATAACAGTCTCTGTAATCTGCTGTATCTTGCAGCTCCACAGGTTTTGGCAAAAGAAGGAGTGGAGGGGGATTGCAGAGTCCACTCAGCATGCAGCTTGCTGTCATTAGCATGGCGATAAATTTTGCTGGCTTTGGCCTGGGTTCCTGGACACATCCCCGTTCCAAGGTATGGAGAAGAAATGAAATGGAAACAGAACTCCCAGCCTGAGGCAGGAGATGGCTTGGGAGGGCAGTAGGGGAGAGGATGAGAGCTCTGCTTGTAGGAGAATGGAGGTAATTAGCAATTTTCTCTTCAGCAATTTACAACAGTACATGCCAGACACACCTTCTCTCCCTTTCTGATTCATTAGTGGACAGAGTGGGGGTGGCAGCAGCACGGAGAGGGGTACCCTGAGCCTACAGTAACCCGTGGGAAGCTCCAGAGGAGATGCACGACCTTAAAAATAACCCTGTGCAGGGTATGTGGAGATGGGGCACCACGTGGTAGATAGTTTCTCCGTACTAGGTAGATTGCATGAAAAATATCATCATGCAGGAGCAACACTTATTTTTTATACATTGATATTCAGTCTTCTGGATAAAAAAATTTTCCTTAAGCTTTACACTTTATTTTGCATGCATGTTAGTTTGAAATCATTCACCAAGTGAAAGCTGTTTAGCTGGGCCAGAGCAAGGCTATTCACTTGTGACTCCCCTGGTTCAGCTGCTGCAGGCTGCACGCGCAATTTCTGTGATGTGCTGCCTCATCGAGGATGCTGATGGTGCTATCAAGCAGTGACTGTTTATCACTCATACACTAGAGGTTAAGTCCTGTTCTAAGAGGTGTGGAATATACAAACCAGTAGAAGCCTCTAGCTGAGCTCAAGAAAGTTGGCATGATGCGAGGGCGGCGAACGGGGTGCCCGCATGCTCTTCCTTTTAAAAGCTGGACCCGGGGCTGGCCTTGCTCCTCCCTCCTGGAGGGTTCGTTTTCCTGCTGAGCCTGAGTTTGGCTCTTCAACACAGCACTGGGGGCAGCTATAACCAGTCACTCAGTGTTGGACTGCTGATGAAGCAAACTTCTTTACCATTTTTGTTATACCAGAAAGTCATTACAGATTTGTAGGTAGACAGAGTTCAGTTCAAATCCTAAATCTGCTACTTCCTAGTTGGCCGGATTACTTAACATCTCTAAGCCTCAGTTTTATCATTTGAAAAATAGGAATAACAATGTAACTGTGATAATATCTGCTCTCCTATATCTCAAGATTCTTAGGGGGATCAAGCGATAACACACCAACATATAGGATGCACCCCTCGTTTTAGGTCTTAAGGCACTTTCAGACGTATTGAAAGGATACAGTCTACAGAAGATGACAAGCCTGCAGGCCATGTGGCTAAATGTCAAATCAAGGGCAGAGATAAGTCTGGAGGAGGGAAAGGTGGGTTAGTGGCACGAGGAAAGGCATCATTACTAAAAGTGAGACTTGAGGGGATTCCAGAAGGAGCAGGGCTGCTAAGCTGGGGTGGGGAAGGGCATTCTGGTCAAAGGAAACTATTGGGGCAACGGGGTGGAGAAGGCCTGGGCACATGGTTTGGGGCAGGGGTTGGAAGGGGGCACTTGAACGAAGGAGTAGGGCTGGGGGAGACTGAGTTCGATTTTTCCCGGAGTCCAGGGTCCTAGGTGATTCCTAAGGCTCTGGACCCCTGCTATTCTAAATGATTCTTCTGTTTGACTCCACTACTATAGCATCCCAGTAAAATCCAATTAAACTGAACATTGATAGCAGAACTGGGGTGTGGGGAGAACACACAGACT